AGATAGATAGATAGATAGATAGATAGATAGATAGATAGATATTATAAGACTATAAGCCCCGCCCATTCAATTTAAAAATAAAAAATGTTGTACATATATAGATAGGCCTCACTTGTCAATAAGTTGCGGGTGTTCGTGTTGTAACGACATATTTACACAGACAGATTTTAAACTTTTAATTAAATATGTACTGGTAACATACACAGATCCGTACAGGAAATGTTTTTGTATGAACAGTGCCAGTAACGCGACTGGTTAACAAAATATATATATAGGTGCCTACCAGGAAGTCACTGATGGACCAATGAACTAATGAAACCAAGTTTCAGTGGTCCACTGTGACCAGTTCGATAATTTAATTGGTCAGATTTTTTTTTTTTTACTGGTACTAGTCTCATCGAGTAACGAGGACCCACCCCCCATGAGTGACGTGCACTGGGCAGCTCTGTGAGCGCCCGGGTGTGGCGAAGCTAAATGTTTTTGGCGGCAGGAAGCCTGTCCAAAAAAAACCCCTACAAATTAGCCGCAGCATTGTTCAAAGCCTGTGAAAGAAGTAGCAGCTTGTAGTCAGAAAGTACGGCAGTTGTTAGTCGGTGTGGCTCCAGTGTCACCGACATGACGGCAGGGATGCTGCTTCCTGCTTCCTGCTGACCTCTTCCTCTTCCTGTCTTTGCTTCTCTCATGAGCAGCATGAGGTACTTCGATCGCGCCGCCCTCTTCATCGAGGCCTGTCTGAAGCACGGGGTGATGGAGGCCAACGACTCCTCCAATATCCTTTTTTTTTTTATCATTACAGTTCTCTGACCAGACGCTGGTTCGGTTGCCAGATTAGCACTTCATATTCCGTCCTTGAAGCACAAGACAGGAAGTAGTTTTTGTGTAAAATATCAGCTTTTTGTGTCGCACTTTGTGCCATGAATCTTTGCGTCCCTCTTCTTTTCAGCCGCCAGGGGACGTTTGTGAGAGCGTCGAGAGACTTCTGTACAAAATAAGACTAATTATAGTCGTGTCTAAAATGTATTTTGCACCTTTTGTTGTTTTTCCATTTCTGCCCTTCCTCCCACTGACCAACATTCTCCAGAATAAAACCTCCATGAAGATTAAAATAAAGAAAACAGCTCATTTTTAGGTGATGTATAAATACTACATTTAAAAACAGTCTGAACATCATGTGTACATGTACTTGTTGTCAGTCACTTCGGCTGTTTTCGTAGCCGATGGCATCCGTTCAGGAACTTTCCGTCCAAACGTTTACTTTAAGGATAATTAGATGATCAATATAAGAATAAATAATTATTTGTTTTATTACTTTATAAATCTTTCTGATAATTTTGTTAACTCTTATAAATCCAGCTTGTGTTTGAAACCCAAATAACAAATTAAAAAAAACATTTTTTTTTACATTTAGTACTGTCTAAACAAATGTCCTCAAATAAACACTGGAACCTTCATTTACTTAAACTTGTATGTTTTTTTCAAAGATAATCTTTTGTTTCTAATTCTTGACATCGTTTCTGCAGAACGTCGTCAGCGATCTGTTTGTTTGAAATGTGCGTCAAATGTGTTAAATAGTTTATTTTCTCTTAGACCTGAGAGAAAGATGGCAGCTCCCAGAATACAAATGAATCTGTTTGTTTGTCTCCGTGGATTAATTTTATCATTCAGTCAGAAGTTTTACTGACACACGACATGAAAGCTGATCCAACTGGTCGTTCTGATTATAAATATAAATATTATTCACTTTCATCTTATCTTTGGTCAAAGCTAAGAGAGACCCCAGGCTGCAGAACCCTGGACTCGTTAAAATCATCTAAAATGCTCTTTTGTTACATTTTAAATTTATTTATAAGTTTGTTATGTTTTCTCAACCAAACAGGAAAACATGCTATGAACTCTATTTTTTGTGCTTTATGCTGTTTAAGCTTTGTCTTCTTCGTCTTCATCTTTGTCTTCTTTCAGCGTTCCCTCTTCAGGTGTCTCCACAGCGAGTCCTCCTCCTCCAGCTCACTCTGTCCTCTGCATCCAACTACCTCCATACCTCTCTAACTGCATCCAGATGTCTCCTCTTTGTCTTTTTCCTGCAGCTGCATTTCTAATGTCCTTCTACCAACATACACACTGTCCCTCCTCTGGACACGTCCAACCCACTGTCCCTCCTTTGGACATGTCCAACCCACTGTCCCTCCTTTGGACATGTCCAACCCACTGTCCCTCCTTTGGACATGTCCAAACCACTGTCCCTCCTTTGTACATGTCCAACCCACTGTTCCTCCTCTGGACATGTCCAAACCACTGTCCCTCCTTTGGACATGTCCAACCCACTGTTCCTCCTCTGGACATGTCCAAACCACTGTCCCTCCTTTGTACATGTCCAACCCACTGTCCCTCCTTTGAACATGTCCAACCCACTGTTCCTCCTCTGGACATGTCCAAACCACTGTCCCTCCTTTGGACATGTCC